TCAGTATTCCAGCAACATGAAATAAGAATCAAAGAACCTGTTTCTCCTTTCTTTCCATATAAATTTACCATGAGAATCAAACAGAGAAGGGATTCATTTATAAAGCAGTAAATCAGAATAGTGCTAATACGACATGGCTTCAAATGCAGGTATGCGTATTGGGATTTTCAGGCGCTTCAAACCTCATATTCTTATGGTCCTGGCTCAGGTTTGCTACACAATCATGTATATCATAACAGAAGCTTCCTTCAACCACGGGATGAATCCTTTCGTCTATGTTACTTACAGACATATACTTGCCGGTTTAGTGATGCTACCTTTTGCCTATTTTCTTGAAAGGTAAATCAAAACACAAGCATATTACAATCTCAATATGCCTCATATTGTGAAACTGATATATATTCTGTTAAAATGCAGAAATATGCGGCCAAAGCTGACTCTGGCTCTATTCCTGGAGATTTCTTTACTTTCCCTTCTCGGGTACAAAATCTTAGGCATTGAACTTTCAAGAAACAAGAAAGTAAAAAATAACTAACAGCAATTTAATGATTGCAGGGTGAGTTTAACCTTAAATATGTATTTTACAAGCTTGAAGTACACCTCTCCTACTCTACTTTCATGCATGGTCAACACTATAGCTTCCCTGACATTTATTCTGGCAGTTATACTCAGGTAGTATATTTGTAAAAAAATCGAATCTCTGAAAAAAACAATTATGGAAAAATTACTGGGAATGATTTTGCGTGCAGGCTGGAGTTAGTAAATACTCGCAGGCTTCGTGGGATTGCAAAAATTATCGGAACAGTTTTATCCTTGGCTGGTGTGATGACCATGACACTGTACAAGGGACCTGTTCTGAAAAACCTGGGGCATACGCTCATACATATCAGGGGAAGCACAACAGTTATCCATGAGCACTGGTTGAAGGGCTCTCTTCTTACTATAGCAAGCTGCATCACATGGTCAATATGGTACATAATGCAGGTCTCAATCCAAAATCTAACTTAAACTGTAATTTCTTACCCTATTCGATTATTTCTTCT